CGAAGAACATAGCGAACGAGGGCATAGCCACTATGGAGAAGTGGTATGATCGGAAATCAAACCTACACATGGTTGCTGACTATTGCTGGACCTTAAAAAGCGATGATAATGCAATCCACAAAAAAATATTTTTGAGGATTTCATTCCAGAACGCGGAAAGTGTTAAGAGACGAAATACTGGCTAATCATGAATCTGGGATATTGATTTTTAATGTTGATTTGTTCATGAAATCAGTTTGTTTTTAAAATAAATTCATAGACAGAGATTTTCGTCGTTGTGGGAAACCAATTGCATGCCTTTGAGGAACTGAGTTATTTTTTTATTAATTTTTCACCCCCTTCTACTCAATCCATCGACATGAGATAGAATCCATCAGATGAATTGGATTTTCATTAAAACGTAGTGCTTTTCTTCGGAAAAATTACGTCCAAATTATATTTAAAAAAAAAGATTGAAATGCGCCATTTTTCGACACTGCAAAAGTTTATTCATACGCCATGTACGATTATGTTCGAGTACGGCCATGTACGATTATGTTCGAGTACGGCCATGTACGATATGGCGTATGGGTAACATTATTTCCTGCTTCAACTTATTTCATACTAAAAATTATTACATTTTCATTTCACTATACAAAAGTGGTTTCTTTAGCCACCGATTTTCATCATTAGTGGCTTAATTTTTTTGGCAAAATAAATGGCTTTTACACAAATAAGAAAAAATTACAAAAAAGTGTGAGTTTTTAAATTTTTTCCTTCTTAATTTTTTTTTCATAAAAATGAAGATATCTTGGGAAATGACCTGATCTGGAAAACGGAAAAACAGATCCGTAATCGACGACTCAAATTAAGTTTACGTATTTCAGCATTTTTTTTTGTTGTGCCATCTCAAAACTTAACATTTTCCCTACAGTTTTATCGGTATTAATGCTGATTCCTAAAAAACGAAATCCCTTACTTGTTTTGAAATGATACTGTCAACAGTAATATGGGTGCCTAGACGCTGCTTGTTCGATGACAGAAGGGGATTCCTTCATTCGCTTCCCTTTTCTATCTAATTTCGACAAAGTAGGTGAAATTTCCCTATGTGCAAATAACTACTGGAAATTTTTTTTCTTTCGTAAATTCGAACGTACTTTTAAAAAATTCTAACATCCAGCTCAGTATGATTTTAAACATATTTAGATGTAACTATTTAATTTACAAAGTTGGCTCCTCGTTCAACACCACCGGTTCGCCATCCAATTTCCGAATTGTGGGCAAACGTTTTATACATTCTGCGCGCCATGTTGTCTCATCCATGCCTTCGGATATAGGATTGCCTACCACCACCAGGTCCTCGAGGGTTTCCAACTCTTGTAAACGGCTGAGCTCACTCCAATCTTTGATTAAATTATTGCTTATATAAAGCACTTTAAGAGCTTTTAAGACTGAGAGACCCTTCAGCTTCTCGATCAAATTGTAACTAAGCCATAATTCGATGAGCGTATCGCCGACTGCCTCCTGAGATAAAATGAAGAAATAGTTAATTTAAAAAAAGTATAAATAAAATTTCAACGAAAACAACTCACCAGTCCTGAGACATTTTTAATATAATTTCGCGACAGCGAGAGCACACGCAAATTTTTCATGCCATTCAAACCGAAAATCTTCTCTATCATATTCGTGGACAAGCTGAGACGTCTGTAAAATTGATTAATGTGTATCATTCGTTTTGCGATACATACATATGTATGTTTTTTTTGTACTCAACTTACTCACAGTTGATCAAAGTGCTAAGCGTATTGTCCATTTTCTCAACTGGTGGCCATTGAAATTGTAACTCGATTACTTTTGACTCAACGGCACTTTGCTGTTCACGTTCCTCCCAACGTTTCAGAGCTTCTTTGATTGTTGTGGCTTTTGACATTTCTTATGCAAGTTTTTATTTCAAACCAAATTCAAAGAAAAGTTGTTTAAATTAAGTATTTATATTTTTTTTTTGCAAAACACAGCTAAATTGATAAAGCAAACCGGTTGTTAGGGCGGGTTGTTATTGACATACAACTACATAGTTAATTGGGTGTTAGGAGAAGCAACAAAAAGTGCAGACTTACATGTAAGCATATGAATGTATGTACGAGTATAATTTTTCAAAAACCTTCAAGGGGTTACACTTCCCCCGAAGCACAGTGGTGTCAAACTGGAATTTAATATTCAAAAGAATCCAGAGTCTTCATTTTTCACCGATTTAATTTTAATTCAGTTAATTTAATGATCGCGTATAAAACTTAGAACAGATTGAGTTGAGCTCGATTTTTTAATTTTTATTTCTTATATTAGTATAAATAAATTTTGTGTGCAAAGTGCTGAGAAAGTAGCAATTTTGAAGAAAATTAATTCTCCTGTTGTTGTAAATAAATGTTACATAATATAAATCATATATACCACATTTGTATAAATGAACTAAAAAGTAAACAAATAATTTCTCCTATATCCATAGAATTTTCTTGATAAGTTTTGATTCTAGAATTTTAGCAAAAGTTATTATAAACAATTGATGAGATTTATATGTTATAGGCTTGAATCGGTATGAAAAGTAAAAATATTTTTTCATTTAAAGAAAGTGGTTTATTAAAAAGTTTTTTGTTTATTTTTTTTCTTCTTTTTAGTTTTTTCTATATAAAATTTTGCAATATTTAGTACGTTTGTGCGTTTGTTTACTTCACTTAATCATTTCATGAAATGTGGTTCACAGCTATAACACACATTTAAGCTCTTCATTACGGCGCCGAACAGTGGTATTTCTGAGAAAAAAAATTGAATTTTTTGATTATTAAATTTTTATACTTGAATCAGGGGCGCACCCAGGAATAAATTTTGGGAGGGGTTTACTTCTGAAAATTCGCTTCAGATAATATGATCTTTAAAGTACATTTATGCAAGTTTTATGTACATTATGTAATAAATAAATAAACTTTTTGAAGTTTCATAAATTGCACTTTATTTACATAAAATTAACAAAGAACTCTAACATTTTTAACCGACTTCAAAGAAGGGGGGGAGGTTATCAATTCGTCGGAATATTTTTTTCCTTTTTTATGTATGCGACTACATAGCTTTGGACCACGATTTCAATAACTCTTTTTTTTTATCGGAAAGATGGTAGCTCAAGGGTCGTCCCGTAATTTGAAAATTACTTGTTTGGTATAAAGTTCTATAAACACAAAATGCGCTCAACTTTCAAAAGTAATAAAAATGTTAAAAAAAAGAGTTTAATGTTAATTTTCCTCGATTTCTGGTTTTCGGTGGAGATGGTGATTCTTCACGATTACCTGATTTTTTTTTTTTATATTTCGAATACCGAAAATATGTGAGTATGCATTGCATATTTTTAGGACAATGTTTTCATTCACAGTTAAACTTTTAAGAGCTCTCAAGAAAAACCAATAAATCGTATAAAACTTTTCTTGTATCAAAATTTCTTAAATCAGTTTGCAAGTCTGAAGAAAAAAATGCTCGTAAATTTATTACTTTAAGAAAATTTCAAAATTAATTAAATTGTCTAAAATGCTAGACTTTTTTGAACAGTAAATTCCAGTTTTGTACCACTGTGATGGTCGAAAAAATAGGTCAAATAGTAAACTTTTTTCTGGTGCAGATATGAAGTTTATAAAAACACCGATAAAATTATAAAATGGCGGAGATATGAGAGGGCTGAATTATATAAATGTATAAACGTATTTTCAGCAGTGCATTATTTGTAAGAGGTGCGTATTTAATATGAGAGAAACAAGGGGGCATTGAATTTTTTGCGGTTATAGATTGTCGATTACGTGGGAGAAAAAAATTCTTCACCTGTGGACATAATTAGGGTTTAACGGTATTTTTAAAACGGGAGTAAAAAACCGTAATTGCACTATCTTAAAAATAAGCCACTAAAGGTGTGTGTGTGTGTGTGTTACATAACTTCCTCTTCCTTGCAAGACTGCTATAAAAGCCACATTTCCCACCTTTTCAGTACAGTATTTTTTTTAGGCTCGATACCGTTTTTTTTTTAAACTTACTCTTTTGCAATGAACGCCATACAGCGAAAATCAAATTTCATTTGCTTCACTGCATTACCGGTGAAATATTTCAAATTTATCGGCATATGCCTGCAGCCACCGGAAATGTTAAGTATCAAGTGCGCTAGAGTTGTAACAGTGGTGTCTATCATTCTAATGTTTCTACATCAATTCGTTTATTTGTTTACACCGGAACTTACCTTTTCCGAAAGAATTGAAGCTATTGGGCTTCTGAATTATACAAATGTTGCTATCGGAAAGATATTCTCTCTGATCTACAATCGTGGACTGCTACTGAAAAATTACTGCGAATTGGAGCGTATTTACCCTAGCGTAGCTGTGGAGCGTCACTATAAACTTGGTCGCTACTTGCGTATTTACGCGCGCGTTAAATCCTTCCTCCACACTTTCTTTGTATATATATTGATTGTATATTTACTTTTTCCTATTGCGCAATCTTTCTACGATTTATTTTCTACCGGTGCGTACACGTACCGCATGCCTGCAAAGTTTTGGTATCCTCTGTCAGTGGAGGAATCGCTGTTGGCTTACCTATTTTATATCTCACTTCAATGTTTTGCATGTGTTTGTGCCGCCATAGTTATATTAAGCTCTGATTTATGCCTCTTTAACTCGGTTGCACAACTATTATTGCACTTGGATATGTTAGCTCAGCGTATACTCGAACTGCAACCAGCTGAAAAAGGCAGCATGCGCGCTTTGAAAGCGATCATCGAATACCATCAAACAATTTTGCTGTGAGTGATGGTTAGTGCAGTGTATAGATTTATTTTATCTCTGTTACTGTCTAGGCTAGCACAAGATGTGAACGACATATTCGCACCATCAATCATTTTCAGTTTGGCCTCTTCATCATTTATACTATGCTTTAGTGCCTATCAGCTATTGGGCGATGTATCCTTCGTTTTCGGAGCGAAAGTGCTACTCCTGCTTGGTTATGAAATGAAACAAGTGGTTATCACTTGTTATTATGGCGACAAACTGATAGAGAGCGTAAGTGCTGGGTTCGTTTACGCTTTTAACTATATTGCATTAAATGTATTTCTGTTGTTGGTAGAGCTCACGTGTGTTTGATGTGGTTTACGCTCACGATTGGACTGTTGGCTCACCGGCATACAAGCGATTGGCCCTGATAATGATGCTTCGCACACATAAGCCCATTGCTTTAAATGTAGCTGGTATAGCAGACGTCTCGCTAAATACACTAAAACAGGTAAGTAAGCTTATCAAACGCCTTTCAGCATAACTATAATCTTTAAGGACTGTTCATATTTTGGTTGCAGGTCCTGAGCACCGCTTATCAAGTATTCGCAGTTCTGAAGACAGCCTAAACTAAACAATCTCGTTTGTTGTGAAATCTACGAACATACATATTTGGTATTTCAAATTTACATATTTATTAATTAAATACAATAGATGGTTTCAATATTCAATGTAGAATCATATTTCTTGTGTTTTACATATGCATATAATTCAAAATAAAAGCTTATGCTGTCTACATATTGCCCGCCCAATTACTCTGAGTAAACGCTTAACGCCTGTCCGTTTTACCCGTACCACGTTTGCCAGAGTACAAATGCTTGGGCATCTTCGTACCGATGAAACGATCGGCTTCGCCCTTCAATCCCAGTCGTGTCACCTTCTTAGCAATGTCTCGTTTCGCCATCAGTTGGGCCTTCTTCTTCATCGCCACATTCTTAACGCCCAATGTGTCTCGAGATGGCGCCCGTTTCAGTGGCTGCCCGGTCTTTTTCACTATAGCCGAAGATTCTTTGTCTAGCAATGGTTTCTTTAACTCCTTCGTACCAACTGCCACAACACTGCGGCGGAGATCGACAACCGATTTAGTAAAGTTAGCATTTTCGGTACCAGACATGTCGACACCAAGGTTCTGCATTGTTTCACGTAATTTAGCCACCGAACGATCACGCACCTTCGGCTGCTTGTGACGTGGCATCGCCGGCTTATTCTTTTTGGAAGCCAAGCGGCGGTCGTCGCGCAACTGGAAGCGTTTGCCGCGAATTTGTTTCGCAATTTCACGAATTTCCTTCAGTGTCTCATCCATGGTCATATCAGGTGGAGCATAAACACCGCCTTCTTCACGAATACCCTCTGCGAGTTCAAGTTCTTCCAATTTCGAGAAGATGTCTGGGTCAATATAGTCGGCAATATTGTGGCCATCCCAAAATTCGGGTATAACGTCGTAGCGTTCCTCTTCGGGTATTTCGCTGTAGTTCTTCTGTAGATCCAAAATATAGTCATCACCCATTTCCTCTTCGATTTCTTTTTCAAGTTTACGTTTACGCTCAGCTCTTTCCGCGTTCTTTTCAAGACGAACCAGTGCTTGCTCGGGTATACATGGCGCACGATCTTTTTCATCACGCGGCGTGGGCATTGCTACATGCAGACGATTTAGGATATTATCTACTTTTTTTGTGCGCATCTTTTGATCAACACGGAACGAGAGCAGACGCTCGCAGGCTTCCATTTTTACTTCCATTACGCCTTCTTCATTTACGGTAGATGTGAACATGACCGGCACACTCTTATCCTCTTGCAATTTGGTAATAATAGCGCGACGTTCTTCTGACAAATCTTCAAGACCAAGAATGTCGATTTTGTTGATCGCCAATATCAGTGGCTTATTTGTGAATAGAGGTTTAATGCTTTCGAAGAGTTGCACTTGTTCTTCTAGGGAATGCCCGCACTGCTCGGAAATATCCATAAAGTACAAAACACAGGCACGCAAGTGGGCTAGTGCTGTAATGGCTTGCATTTCTATGACATTGCGTTCCTCTAATGGATGATCCAATATACCGGGTGTATCAATAACCTACAAATTAAAACACGTTTAAAAATTTATAACCGACTGTCTTGCTAATAAAATAATAATTTATAAAAAAGTGCATTTCCATTAACTAAAATGTATCAAATCAAGTTTCAGAACTTTTCTTACCCAGTAATTGAACTATGAAATTTCTCATAAAATTTTTAATTTTCTAATTTTCCACTTTTTGCTTAAAGGAAATCCGAAAATATTTTTATGCTTTTACCAAACTAATTGAATAATTTAACTCACCTGCCAGCGCAAATATTTGTAGTCTGTGTGCCCAACATACAACGATTTGGTGGTGAAAGCATAAGGCTGCACTTCTACATCGGCACGCGTAATTTTATTGATGAACGAAGACTTGCCTACATTAGGGAAACCGCAAATTATTATCGTCCGCGAATAGGGATCAATTGTGGGTAAACGCGACAGATGTTGACGCACTTGCTCCAAATATGTAAGATTGCTTGCTTGCTTCTTTAAAATGGTTGCCATACGACCCAGAGCTGCTTTCTTCAGCTGTTTACAGCGATAAAGCGAATCGCCATATTTCAATAAACGCACATAGTCCTTAGCGACACTGTAGTTTTAAGTAAAGAAATTACAATTTAGTCATGTCTTTAAAAGCATTTGTAGAATAACTTACTTGTCGATGAGATGTCTGGCAGTATTGAGTTGACCTAAAGCTAATTTGTAATGGTCCTTATCGTACAGCACATTCATCAAATCAGCATAGAAGGGATGCACATCGTCCAGTTTCGGGAAGTCCTGTATTATCTGTGACAGACGGTCATGAAAGTTCTGTTGTGTATATTTGACTTTGCGTGTGTAGAAGGCACGAATACGCGAAATCTTGTAGCCCTTGTGCACAACAGTGGGAGTCTTTCGTTGGGTCTTCGACAACATTATATCAATGAAGTCCTGCCATTGTTAATGTAAACAAATTGTCGATATTAGTAAATAATTAATTTAAAGTGTTTGTAAACACAAAAAAAAGCGACGTGGAATGAGGTTATGTCCAGTGGGTTCCAAAGGCACGGCGCGAACACCAATTCCCTCGTTGGTTTTTGTTGAAAGCGAAGCACTTTTTCGGTACGTACCTTTGCCGGAGGGACAACCATAATCTTCTTAAAGTTGTACAAACTCATTTTGATGTGAAAATTATATTTTTTCACGTGAGAAATTAAAAAATCAAAGCGATTGCGTTGCGCAGCAAATACACGCGGTGCAATGCAAATCGAAAAAGGAATGAATGACAATTCCAAATCGCAGAACAGCTGTTTAAGGCGCGTTGCCAACCGTTGTTAAATATTTGACAGCTTAATTAGTTGACGGGCGACACCTAGCGGTAACTAGTTCCACACTTATAAATTACAACAATACATCCGACAGGAAATGTAGAATAGTTTCGCGGTTATTTTATGCTTCTAGCAAGGCAAATAAAATGTGCCTTGGCTTTGAGTGAAAATAAATTTTTATACATATGCTAGTCCAATAGTGTTAATAAAAGTGTTTAATAAAATTAATATTGTGTTTCATGTCTGTGTGTGCCCACATGTGCCTGCTGTTATTGAAGTTTCGTTTAAGACACCCCTCGAAGTGTATATCTCGCAAATAAAAGGAAGCTCCCGTTCACAGTCCACTGTCATCCAAGTGCGTTGAAGAGTTACAGCAATGCAGCTTACATTGGCAAACTGGTTGCTGCTAAAGGTAATCTAAATATGTAGTTATACAAGTTTCAAAAGCACATATTTCAGAAATTACTACCTAGTACGTGGATGTCCCGGCGCCCAAGCCGCAAACTGAAAGCAGCGTAGGGGTTCCTCTTCCATATTAATGTACTCAATAGGCTGGCTATTGTACGTTCGGTTGAAGTGCAGGCCAACGTAAGCCAATATGTGTTGTCGTGCATGCATTTGTCGTGCATTTTCATTGTATACTCGTAGAAGTTCTGCGAAAGCATTTGTCCGAGCTGCCGAGGCAACGTGCGCCAAGTTGGCCACGCCACCAACAATTGCAGTATTGCGGCAATTTTGTGTGGCATTGTGAAAATTAGCAGGTGCTACTTGTAGTTGAAATAAGCCCACTTGAGGAACGCAGGAATAGTTGAGAGATGCTAATAGGGAGTGAATTGCAGTTTTTTTTTTTTATTACTAATCAACGAAGCCATAACTTATCGCCCACTCACCCACTGGCTCGCCATACAAACTATAATAGTCATAACGACTGTCATTCACCAGATTGCGCATTGTATTGTTCTCCGGACATGCGAGTATGTGACAATTGAAATGCTCCTGCGGCCGCTGCCAAACACTCAGACGATTTTCACTATAGCGACTTTCATTCGGACGTGTTACTGCGAGGATAAATTTAGTTTTAATATTTTAGTACTGATTCACATAAAAGTTGTATTTTGTACTTTGCTCTAGCTGTTGTTCAGTAAGTAGTATTTCAAATACTTCATATTTGCCTCTTGCACTTGTGCCAAAATTCAAAGCTAGACCGCGTGCCGACTTCGCCGCACGCACACAATCTTCAAGATTAACTACATTCTCATAGGCAATTGCAGGCATTGTAGAGCGTTGGCAAGTGCGCACGAGGCTAAATTTTAAGTGATCCAAATGCGATTTGCGTGTACAAGCAGTTTTATTCAGATTAATGCCTACTAAAAGAAAGAGTAAGCAAGCAAAAACTTGTTCTGACCACATTTCACTTAAAATTATTTTGAATAATGCATGCGGTTCGTTGCAAGACCAGCTGTACAAATTAATTGTATCCTCAGCACAAATCATGTTGCATGCATGTCACTCATTTAGAGCAAATTGGCTATTCTTCCTGCCACTCAGTTGTCTATGTGGAAATGTAGACGGCATCTCTCCTCAGTTAGGTGCAGTCATTGAGTATGTAATATCTAATATGATGCAATCGAAGTTATATATGCACATATGTAACTACAATACTGGCTTGGATTTAATTGTAAGTACTTAGATAAATAAATATGTAGAAGACTACCATGTACAATGGGCCGTATGCATAAAAACTAAGCGCAAACTAAGCATAGCGCTAGGACCTCCTCGTTAGCAGATCTTTCGATTAGTCTTTTGAAAGACAGTAAAGTGCTTTTAAGATATTTACCAGAATTAACAATTGGCTTACGAAAGGCTTTTGTCTTTCCAAAGACTGTGGTCAGTTGAAAGACAGTTGCCAGAACCGTTAATTTGCACATTTACATCTCAGTTATTTTTTGATAAATTTTAATAATTCAAACATTTCACCCGACATAGTGGACCGCTCTAAGACAAATTTTGATCTCGCTTCCATTCTTCGCGAATGGTTCAGAGAAGATTTGTCCTCTTTAAGAAAGTTCTTGAGACTTTAATCTCCAAATTGTTATTGAAGAAAAAGTTCTTCAGAATTTTGCTCCCATTTTGTTCTTTGGCAGAACAATCCGGCGGCTTTTATTCTCGAAAGTATCGTTCACTTTTTGTTCGGGAACATTCCACAAAGTTTTATTACTATATAATTCCCGTTGAGAACGTTCTCGAGAGCTATGTTCTCACTTTAGTTCCTGTGAAAACACTTCCGAAGGTTTTGTTCTCATTTCGGTTTGGGTTTTTAAGCAATTTTGGGAAAAAAACCACGAGAACGACATTTAGTTTCGATCTTACCTTTTGTTCTGGGTCCCTGATTAAAATTTAGGATTGATGCCTCTGCACCTTCCATTATTTTGGTAAACCACATTTTATTAGATTTTTTTTGGCGCGAGTTTGACCTAGGAAGAAGTAGACTTTCAAGTTTTCTAATCCACCCAATAAAATTAAGGAAAATATTTTACTGGACGGTTTATTTTAAGGGCCTTTATTACTTTCACATATTTTATAAGTAAGTTTTTTAAATTTTTATTTTCACGCCATAACGACACACTTTACAATTTTCAATTCTATAAACACATACATTTTAGACTTAAATTTTTAACAAATAAATTAGTTTTGTTTAAATTTGATTTGACAGTTTAGTTTAAGTAAGTAAGTAGTTAAAATAATAAAGTTTTAGTTATAATGACAAGATGGTACGTAGTTTAAACACAATATTAATTATTTTTCGTTTAATTATTCGCCTCTTTCAAATTTTATTTATTTATTTATTTATGTAGTTTTTGTTTGCTCACATTAAACTGGTAGTGCAAAAATTAAATTTTATTTTAAATAGCAATGGATAAACTTTGGTTCTCCAATACGCACAAACAATTTCACATCGTCATAAGGAAATAAGGTTAATTATTTAAATATATGTATGTATATTAGATTTAATAGTTAATAGTATCACCTGAGCAGGTTGAGCGCATTCGTTGTTCGTACAAAATTCTTATAAAAAAAAAAACAAGAATAAATTATAGTATTTCTAGGGCTTTGCCCCACTTTTCTGTTTTGTTGCAGCGCGCCAACCAAGCGTTTAAACTTACACACTTAAATGTTGCAAATTGACCACCACCAAAAATATTCTCAAATTTTACGATTAAATTTCTTCAACTACTTAGTACGAGTATTAGCTGAACAAAGGAGTTGCCTGCAAGCATGCGCTATGACAAGTGGCATACTTTTAGGCGTTGCACCTTTGCGATATTAGAGGGCAAATATTTTTCATACTATTTTAAAATTATTATTTTTTATTAATTCACATCTGGTTTTTGTTTTTGGTTTTTATTTCATTATTGCCCAATAATATCTGCGCTATCTACATATACTGACTGTAAGTATGCATGTATGTGTGCGTGAGTGTATATGGTATAGGGTATAAAGACTCTCTAAAGGAAGCGTGTGTCGTGGCTTACTTATAAACTTAAAGTTGATACATTAATTATTTTAATTATTTAATTAATTGCATATTTATGGGCAGCTCAAGTTTGGGTCAGAGCAAAAAAAAAGCAGCAGATGCGAGTAGCGAAATTGCGTAGGAGAGGCTAGATGTAGCTTCTTGGGCTATTGCTTATTTTTCTTCTTGCTGATGCTCTGCCCTTAACATATTTTATACAAAAAACTATTGCTTTTAATTATTTTCACTTATTTGTTGCTCATTGATATTTGTGACCTTAACAACTAAACACAATGACTACTACGAACTGCGCTTATTTGCAGCGGCAGTGTACAAGAAATTTCTCAAAATTCCGCCTAAATCATTTTTTATTTTTTTCTTTTGCTTTAAAACACTTTGAGTGTTCATGTGTATGTGTGTGTGTGTGTGTGTGTTGTTGTGTGTGAAACCAAAATTAAAAAAAAAATTGAAGTCCGCAAAAAAAAGGAAAAATATAAAAGAAGTATCTTTTTAATCGAGAATGTGTATCTTCACTTTGTGTTCACATCTTTGTTGTATTGTGTGTTTGTGTGTGTGTGTGTTCATTCCATTTAGCTGCTATGCGAGAACGCCGTATTCGTGTAGGGACCACTGTAGATGGAGCTGCCCGAATTCGACACACTCTTCGTGCTCCTTCGGGCCATAATGCATAATACGGCGGCAACGACGGCCAACATCAATATGAGACCGGCAATTGCTATGGCAATGGCAAAGGTGCGCTGCGAAACGCATAACGCATCCTCGAGTGTCTGCAAGCAAACAACAACAAGAACAGCAACAACAAAAGCAAAATAAATAAGTTTTGAATTTTACATGAATTTCAAGAATATTCAATTAATTCATTTATTTATGTACTTACACGCTCCTTGAGCACTGTATCATCATCGCTCTCGGACACATCAACATTTTCGTTCACATACAGACCGGAGTAGACTTCGATGGTGGCCGGTTGGCCGTCTTCGTCTTTATTATCGTTGTTAGTTTGTCGTTTGGGTCGTTTGCCGCTGCACGCTGGAGGCTAAAAATAAATAAATAAATAAATAAGTAAGCAGCATTTGAAACAACAAGTGCAAATTAATTATGTATGCAAAATGAAAAATTGATCGACAATGTTAATATGTACATATACCCACCAATTGGCACTCGGGATCCTGCAAAGCGCACAAATGCACATTGCACTGATAATAAACGGATGTGGTGTAGGGGAACTTGTGTGCCGGGAAGGTAACATTGGCCGCCAAATGATCGCTGCTATAGTTGAATTGGCCCATAATCTCGTTATCCATAGGACAACTGTGTGATAGAGGGGGAAGAAAGAAAGAACGAAATAATGTTATTGAAGCTTAAAAGCTTTCAGGTTCTAAGAAAGGAATAGTTGACAACTTTAATTTGGACAGTTTTTTTCGACAAGTGTACTTTTGTTATTAAATATAACCTAACAAATGTTTAATACTTATTAGGCTGTTATCCCAATTGTCTTTCAATTAAAAATTGCAAATACATTTCTGGTCTTAAAAAATGTGGGCATACATTTCTTTGTAACTGAAAAACTGTACTTATAATATTCAGAGACGCGTTCCAGTCTTGGTTCAGTTCTGCATGAGAACAAAATATAAAGTCAAGAACGTTCTCATAAAAGAACCAAGTGGGGAAAAAGTATTGAGCGATTTTAACGAGAACAAAATTAGTACTAAAGGTTCGGTAATGGTTCCGTAAAGAACAAAATGTGAACAAAACACTCGGGAATGTTCTCAAGAACAACAGAATGAGAACGAAACTTTCTGGCGTGTGTCTGATGAGAACAAAAGCGTCGAGAACGTTTTCAAGCTCAAATAAGAATAAAAGTCTGGGGAACGTTCTGCTAGAGAACAAAACAAGAACAAGTTTTGAGAATTGAAAGTTAAGAATGAGAAGGACGTCTGCGTATTGGAATGAAACATCGTTTCAGTGAGAGCCAGAGGAAATCTGGATCATTTCAACTTTCAGATCATTTATCTTTAGGGTGAACTGCCCATTTATGGAACTTTTTTTCATTTTCTGTGCAAGGAAAGTTTTGGGTCTTAAGTCGTTCGTGAGTGAGAAAGTTTCTTAAACTTCTGTTCCCGTTTAGTTTTTTCCAAAATTTTTTTCTCGTTTCGACTTTGGCAGGACTTGGAATTGAATCGATGCATTCCAGTTTGCCGATAAATGTCGATAATTTGCTGCATATAAATAATTCAATGAATTTAAAATACACTAACACGATGAGTGTGCATTTCAAGGGCCCGATAAATCAAAAATGTATACATCGATATAAATCGATAAATCGATAAACTTCGTATACCTCCATAAATTTCGACAACTCGGTTAATTCTGATAGCGCCATATCTCTCGAAAGCTATCGACTAATTTCGATACCTCGTTACACTCTGATGAACCGAAAAAATTCGGTAAGCAGTGATAACTCCAAAAATTTATATAACCTTGAAATTTCGTTAACTTATATATTTTGAAAATTCCAAAAACTTCGATTCGATAAATCGACAAATTCAAGTGGGTCTAAAAATATCGATAACTCGATAAGTTGAAAGAAATCGATGCATTACGATAACTCGATAAGTTTCGTTAGTCTATAAATAGATAATGATAATTCGCTAAATAGCGATAACTTGATAAAGTTCATTAACTTAACCAAATTCGATACCCATTTCCATTTTTATCGCTTAAAAACCATCCGTAAATGTGGACAACTCAATAAAAATTTATCAATTTGAACAATTCGATACGTTGCGATAACACAATAAAAATGAATAGCTCGATAAAATTCGATATCTACAAACTTCGATGATTCGATAACTTCCGCATTTATTTCGATTACCCCAATTCTTATGTACTTCTCATTGTTTTCATTTTCGTCTTTGTCTTCAACTTCACTTTTTGGTCCTAATGGTTTTTAACATTTATTTCTTCAGCATCACAATTATCTTTAGTACAAAGTTTAATTTCAAATACGAAGTAAAACAAAATGCGAAAACGACTCAAATTGAGCGGGTTGCAACAACAACAATACGGAAATTTTTAAAAGACGATTTTGGCCGTAATTTTTAACAAATTTTAAAATCATAAACACTCTCCTCTACAAACTCTACAAAAAAATCGCTTTCCAATGGTGTTCTTGGTTTTTAACAATCGCTTCGGTACAATCGCCAAACCAAAGTGGACGAAATTTATATTAGCGTATGAATATATAGATTTCGGCTCAATAATTGGTGATTAAATTCATATTTTTAAATGCATTTCTAAAGAGTGTGGCAAAATTCTCAATAGATTTACTTGAGAAAGGTATAAAAGTGATTTGTGGAGCTTGCAAGATTAAGGGAAAAATGGTCCAAAAATCGTAAAATAGTGACAAGAAAAATATGGATAATATATTCACTGCTTTTTCAAAAAGAGTTCAATTGAGTTAAAAGTTCTTATTGGCTTCTGTGTTTTTTTTTTCTTTCTGCCTAATCTGCTCTTTATTTCTTTCCTATTGAATCATCTTCCCTTCTAAAATCTATATGCACAAGATCCTCAGTATTATCAGTTTCTTGAATATATATATATATATGCACTATACTCCTCCTCCTTCATCTCTCACTCACCCATCTTCGCTCAATAGCCGTTGCTCGCCCCAACCCAAACCGTCACGCACAATGCAATCGGTCACATGCAGTCCGTATAGCTCCTGTTTGTCAATACTGATGACAATCGTCAGCGGATCGCCAATTTTCACATCGTCAGCAATTTTATGCTCTGAATTGTAAATTTTCATATGGCAGCCGGGCATTGGTATCTCATTCAAGCTCTCATCATTGCCCTCGTCCAAACTATATTCGCTGCCGCCGTCGTCGAGTACATCTTCCTGATCGAATTCATCGCCAGTGGCACGATATTTATCCAATGAGCGTCCATAATCGCGGCGATCACCACTCGCCCCCACTGCAGCGGCCGCCGCCACCGTTTCAGCGCTACGATATGCTTGTGGTTTTTGCGCATGCTTGCCACTGTTAGCTTTGCGGCGTTGTGTATGCTTCTTATTTGGCGCACTGGTCGCCGCATCACGGCTCTTGTACGAACAACGCACATGATAGCCACGACCCGCATCGGTAATGAGTTTCAGATGTGGCTGCAGGACAATGGTGTTGAAGAATTCAATGCCGCCGTCGTCCTGGAAAGATGGTGGAGGAAAAGAGAGAATTTTTATTAAAGGTCCAGTTTTCTGAAGATATATGTTCTTATTTAAATAATATACAATATACAAATGTATGTATGTATATTAGGGTGCAGCACTATCCATACAAAAAAATTATACTCTTTTTTCGTCGGAATTATAGAATTTATTTTGAGTATTCATGGATACACATAAATGACTCGTAACCTCGTAAATAACCCGATTCCCATACAAAATTAAGTAGGTTTACGAAATATACATGGTTACGGTGCATTTACGCATTTAGGTGAATTGCCCTTTTATATTTTGATACTTCTGCCACAATAGGCGCATTTTGTATTACACGCATATACATCTACGCTTAATGTGTAAAAAAATAAGCATCGACCATTTCCATTTAAAAAAAAAAAAGTAATTTTGATTTTATCGGCAACTATTCATAAGCACACCAAAAGTTTGTCGCTCACAGCTCCTTGCAAATTTTAAGTGCAGATACGCACGCGTATAAAAAATACACGCCTAATATTTCGGAAAAATATAATGGCCTTATTCATAAAAAATAAAGTAGCTTTAAAAAACGTTTATAAACTGAAAAATGTATGAAAACGTCACTTTATAAAGCTCTTTAAACCTACTATATTTTTTATGAATAAGGCCATTAGTATTTACGTGACCTAAATCAATTTGAAAATACCTCAAAAAATCTAGTTTTTTTTAAATAAAATTTGTTTACATTTTTTTTCCAAGAAATCACATCACAGAGCCATTTTCAAATCGGTCCAGCTTACGTAAGTCTTAAAAGTTTTATAATTCCGATAGATATTATAATTCTAATGGAAAATTCGCAAAAAAATTGTTTTTTATGGAGCGTGATACACCCTAATGTACATACATAAAGTGCCCTGCAAAAGTTTGCACTCACTTGAAAAAATCGTTTTGGTTTGTATGGACTGGTTGTTGCCAAAAAAAACCATAGTTGCGACCGGAAAATGTTTGTAAACGACTCAAATGAGCAAAATAACAAATAGTGGGCCGATGAATCCATAATTAAGGCGGTTTTTTCAAGTGAGTCCACACTTTTACAGGGCAGTATACTTATATAAATGAAGACGAAATATTATAATTATTATGAAAATACTGCAACTTTTTTGGTGAGGCACCCTATTGTACATATTACATATATAAAAAATATTTTTTTTTTTATATAAAATTTATTTATAAAGAAAGTCCCTTTCGTAAGGCCATTGCTTCTAGACATGTATGCACAGTAATTTTTAAACCAACCAAGTTTTTTATCAAAATCTGTTCGAAATTTCATTCCTTGTTCATTTCATCTCCGCTTTGGTCAAGATTTTATATACATTTATGTACATAAATACTTTTGATTAATATAAAAGCATTATTATCTAAGCATTTACTTGCGCCAGGCTAAGCAAGTTGGCGCTTGTGAAAGCTCTTAGCGGCAGTAAATGTATTTGCTTGAACATTCCTTTCACAACTAAATAAGTAATCAATCAACGGGCTTGGTGTTGCAAAATATTAGCAATCACTAAACAGTTGCTAAAAAGATTTACGTAAACTTGAGTGTGAACTTCATATTCTTTTAACTAACCTTAGCTTGAGTTTATCTAATTTGTCATTTTATATATGTAAATATTGCAACGGAAGTCAAAAGAGCGTCTTGGTCAGTCGCTTTTTAAGGAACAAAAAAATTCATTTAAAAATTAAAATGTTTGTTTTCTAATAAACAGGCAGCTGCTTTTAAAAGTAATGGACACCGTCCATTAAACCATCAAATATAATATAGCATTTTAAATGTCTACTTAGGTACTTACATACATAAAAATATAGACTCTCTAAGGCCTCACTGATTCTTAACAGACTGTTCGGCAGCCATTAAATGCTGTTTTTTTTTCTACTCAACACATGCTTTATTATTGCATATGAGTCATAATATTAGCTTAGCGATAGCAAGTGGCTTATTTGCAATAACGGTTAAGTATTTCTACTTCCTTATTGCACACAAGCATAATGCAAATAAATAGATGTTTGCATAAACAGCTAAATAATATATATGAGCAGGCAGCTACTTTACTGTAATACTTGGTTAAATAAGTATGTATGCATGTAATTTGCATTTATTTTCTTAACTAGTTATGTTTATGTACAAAAGAATAGAAATAATAAAGAACGCATACGACGGGAAAATGCTAACCCACGTTAAACAATGGCTTAGAATCAACGGTACTTGCTATTACTATAATGATAAACAAAAGACTGTAGACACGAACTTGCAGTAAAAAATTATATTTGCATGTGGGATAAACATAAGTATGTATGCACATGTTCTTCTTTAGAATTCAAGCGCATGCGACGGGAAAATGCGACATGTTCTTCTTTTTAAATATCTGATGGTGCAGAATTGAAAGTTATAAATCAAACTATCCATTGAAATTAGAATTCAAGCGAAATAAACTTTAGAACAAAGTACCTGTCCTCTTTAAACCTCGAAAATGATTCGACCATTAAATGGACGCCATCCTTGAGAGCAAATGCTCATCAAAGATATGCTGTCTTTGTCTCAGATGTATAACTTCCTGACATTTGTGAATGATACTACGCACCCAAAGAAAAACTTCCGCAGATGTGGCCTTTGTGCATTTACGGCGTATTTTAAAACACTTAGCGGAGGAAAGTAGCCGAAGTTCGCAACCTTCCAAGTCCAAGAATGTAAAAAAGTAAGTAGTAATAAACAAGCACATATGGAAACTGGTTTGGTTTTTTATTTTTTTAGCCATTGACAATACAAGAAATACTGCAGGGATTTGTAGACTGGTTAGATCTTGAAACTTTTCCTAAGTCTGTTCTCTTGACCATATCTTCTCTGAACAACTTAGAAATGGGAATGATTGAGGTCACTCTGTCTACACCAGTGCCCTATGTCATGAAAATTAAGACGATGATGACATCTAAAGTAATGGTATAACGGCATTGTCATTAGGATGCTTGATCTTATGTGGTTGTCTAAAATAAATAATACACGAGTTCGTCTCCATGCAACAATCTTACAGACAAGCATCTGAAAATTCCTTTTGTTGTCTATCTTGAGACATCCACAAAGAGTATTTTATATTAACCTATACATTTGTGGATAATACATGCATTACTTTGAATACTAAAATTAAACAAAAAATAACTGAAATATAATTATGCGAATTAGGTCAACGAAAGCCATGCGACAAGAACTTTTCTTGCAAATGAAACGAAAATTTTTTCCATAAATGTATAGTAGGGTCCGCTAAACGATCTGGAGGTTGGAATAAACCAACTTTCCTCTGGTTTAGATTTAAAAATCATGGTTCTCACTGAAATTGTTTTTCATCCCAACATGCAAGCGCTCCTTCTATTCTTAACGTTAAGTTCTCAAAACCTTTGTTCTCGTTTTTCTCCTCTAAGCCAATACCGGAACGCGTTTTCGGCCTCTGTTTCTAGGTGCCATAATCGCATGTGATTGGCACTAATTTAGTACTTCCTTCAAATTTTTGTTATAACTTAACATGTAAAAATAGTGTAAGAAAATATGAATACATAGTTATGTACATTCACTTATCATCTTCACATACACATATATGAATCACAGAACATTACTTCATTCGCTCTCTTACTAAAGAGGGGATTTCCTTTCACTTCTCACTTACTCGCGTTTGCGGTATATTAACATATAAATAAGTATATAGTATTTGTACATATATGTAGAATATTTACCGCCTTATATACCTAAACCATTTACTTTAGTTATAACCAACTGGAAGGCGTACTCTAATCTATTTGTTACACAGCAAGCACACATGCATTTATTTATAGCCATATGAACATACAGTGGCGGTCAAAACTGGATGAATGGTGTTTCGTTTTTAACATTTACAATGTTTTTCAATCTAAATTTATTTTTGATATTTTTTTATAAAAATATGTTTCATACTTTAACAAAAACTATATAAATCACAATTTCAAACTTTATACAGAACTTAAAAAAATTCGAAAAAATTGTATCTAAATTTCGAGCTTTTTAACCAGAATTTTCAGCAATTTTTTGGGTAAGTTTGAGGGGCTATAAAATCGCACTGATTTTTGATATTTTTTTTTGCTGACGCGTTTTACGGTTTTTTCATATAAATAGGGAAATTTAGGTAAACTGGCGTTGACTTTTTTTATTTTATTTTTCAAACCGTCTTGCGCATTTTGTGCAAAACACTGTCAATAAAAAAAATATTAAAAGTCAATGCAATTTTTAGCCACTCAAAACTTCCACTTATTTTGCATACCCAAAAAATTTTTAAAAACTAAACAAAATAAATTCATCCAACTACCAGACCTCTATTTTTATATGTTTTTTTGATCACTGAATCAAACTCCGACCTCCATTCAATCCCATCACGTCAAGGCTTTTCATAGCCTTTCATTGATTTTTCCGGGAGTGGGGTGGCAGGGTTGAAAAAACCTTGACGTGATGGGGTTGGATGGACGTCGGATTTTGATTCAGTGATCATAAAAAACATATAAAAATAATGGTCTGGTAACAGGAATAATAATATTTTTTTTGTGGAGCTGTATTTTTGACCGCAACTGTATGTGTACTAAAAATACTCGGACAAAAAACGTGTAGATACAGAAATTCTTTACGCTTGTTTTAAAAGCAAAACTTTAGTGGGTTCCTCATGGTCATTTTTTATCATTTTACGCTTAACTTAGTGTGACGATTTGTTTTGCTGCTGCTATTGCTGTTGCTTTTCAGCTTGTGTGGCTTTGAAAACGCATTGGCTCTTGTTGATTATTTCCTTTTCCACACTGTTTTATGTGTGGTCGCAACTCATACAAGATCAGTTCTTTCCTCAGTATCTTCACTGTATTTCTATTATGTTAGGAGATGCTTCTATTGTATTACATATAGTAAGCTTTGCAGTTGATGAGAATGAGTTAAAGTAGTACTTAACGCA